CCAGCGCCCTCCAGAGGAAAGCCACAGGAACACACCCATTGCCAAACTGCATTGGGCTTACTGACTTGTAATGAGAGAGAATGAATGTCATGGAGAAACATGGCAGGGGCGAGAATGGGGCGGTCTCAGGATGGACATGTAGGATTTGGGCTTCTGGTAAGTGATTTAGGAGCAGGTTCAAAGAAGTGAGCCTTTGCTCTGAATTAGATGCTGTCTGAAATAAGACATTGCTGTCCAACAGGGGAGATGATGTATCTGAGGAAACAATCCATGGGTCCAGTGTGCTTTGGGACATCTTCTGCTAACGCAAACAGGAAGCTTGAATAAATATACCCAAGTTAAAGAGATAATTCATAGTGAGCATGTAATTTGATGCAATGGATTTTCCTTAGTTTTGGCGAGTAGAGGGCAGGTTGCTTTTTAGAAATTTGAACAATGTAAGTTAATGGATAGATTAGGTTTGACATCTAGGCCCCAACCTTAATATGTCATCACAAGAGTAAGCTATCCAAAAGCGGAGAGATCCAAAATACTTGTTTCTCCTCTATTTTGCAAGTAGAGATTTTTCCTGCCTTTCTTCTCCATGGCTCTCACAACATAAGACTCTGAAAATCTCTGCTATCCATCTCATTATAAAGCCCAAGACCTGATCTAGACAGAAAAGGAACTATTGAAATAAAGAGCTTGTGTACATTTTAATTTATTATGACTATGAGGGTAATAACCAGATACTCAGAGCTCTTGCTGGAAATGCCATTTGCATTATGCTCAGATTTTGGAGAAAAGGGATAAGGAGCATCTGAAGTGGAAATGGGGATTTTTCTGGGTTCTCTAGTTGGTATTTGAGTTGGCCTCTGGCTGAGAGAGGATGAGCGCCTTGGAGGGGATGTGAATGAACCCTAAATTTCAGAGTGGGTGGACAAAAGCTTATGAAAAAACCAGAGAAAGCTTGTGGATGTGGTGTTTTGTGGGGTTCCATAGATTAATTCCTGGCTGAATTTCAGGACCCTGATGAACAATTTGGCTTATGAACTCTATATATACGCACATAGAGCTATATAGACCAAAAAGCTTCTTCAGACATCTGTAAATCGAGGTAGAAACACCGTTTTTTCTTAAGCCTTATAAAAAGCAGGAGTGTAATGGGTGGGGGACCCTCTAAGTGAATAATCTCAGGTGCAGAGGAACCGTTTTGAAATCCTCTGCAAACATTCAGCAGGTGAAACAGCTAGAAGCTGAGACGGCTATGAGGAGACTGGGATTGGGCAAGGGGAAGAGTGCCCTGTGGGAAAGCAATGTTGAGTCCCTGCCAGAGTCAGGAAACATCAGGGTCAAAATGGGCTGCTTCTTGGGAGACAACATTGAGAGAGCCCTTGCATACTGTCCTGTTGTCTGAGAATCCAGGTGCTGCTCAGAGGAAGTGAGAGATCCAGGGAGCTCCCATTGCTGAGATCTGGGTTTTAAAAAGTTTCCTTCTCGCCTGCTCCATGTTAATTAAACTGAACATGGGGAAGGTGCAGACACCTGTGGGGAGAAGCCCAGCGTGCCAGGTGAAGCTGTTGCTCAGGGAGTGCAGTTCATTTCTGCTAGTTGGATCTCTGCTCCAACTTCTAGCTGTGTAACCTTGACTAAATTCTCTGTGCATTGAGTTCCACATTTGTCAAAGGGAATTGTAAATGCCCTCTTCCTAGAGTTAATTTGAGGATGAAGGAAGATTGGGCTTCTAAAATGGCTGTGGCAGGTCCTAACGCACAGATGATTCTCAATGAACATTGGCTCATTTCTTCCTCCCTGAGCAGAAAGTAACACTTTCCCTTTAGGCAATCTAATAAGCCTGGAGTCGCAGGGACCGGACTCGAGTTGGAGGGAAAGGGTTTTCGCACATCATCCTCTTTCTAATTCTTGCTTTAACATAGATTACAAGGAACAGAGCAATTCTCTGCAGGAGGCTTGGTGTTTGGATCCCCTACAACCCTTCAAGCCATAGGACTGAAGACGCATTACTCCTAATTATCTGTAGCCAGAAAGAGATGGATCTTATTGGGTTGACTGACACCACTTATGAACATGGACACTGGTTTATTAATTATTCTCCCCCTCCAAACAGCATGAGCGTCGTGTAAAACTTGGCATTTCCAAGTCTCAGCGGGCAGCCAGCAGCTAAAATTGGCAAGAGAGTTCCAAATCCTAGTTAATAGCCTTGTTCTTTTTCCTGTTTTCATGAATCCTGGTGGAAGTTAGATGGATGAAAACAAAGAAGGCTTAAAAATGGTTGCACTAAAGAAACCAATCCTGCTGGGAAGGATTCACTCCTTTTTTTTAGCCTTGACTTACCATTCTGGCGCTTCAAGTACACAGCTGTTTATTGAAAGCCAAGCTTCTTGCTACCAAGACCAATTCCTCCTCGTCTACCTGGACTTTTCCAGGCCATATCACTGAAAGTCTTGAGTTCTCGTAAACCTTACTGTCCTGGACCAACTGGGACTGTTGGTCACCCTACTGGAAAGGACCAAGGCAAATCGTTGAGAAAGAGACAGCTTCAATGAACTCTGGAACTACAGGCTGAGATCAGGAGAAGGAAAGTCAAGGTAGGGGGTTAGTGGCTTTAAGCAGGCCTCTAGAGTTACAAAATAGAACTCTTTAATCGTTGAGGAAATCCAGAAGTTGGAGAGGTCACTGAGGTCACTTTGGATAACCGATAAGCAAAATAATCAAACACCACAAAACACAGAAACAAAGAAAATTCACTCCCCTCCCAAAGTTGAAATGTGGAGTAGCCTCAGACAAAGTCCTCCTTTGGGACTAGGGGCAGAGGAAATAAATCAGCTTTCTAGGGAACTGGTCTGCAGAGAAGGACTCATCAAAATCGCCTGGAGTGCTTATTAAACAATTTCCTGGACCCCACCCCGAATCCACCAGACATAATTACTAGGGATAAGGACTGGGAATCTGTCCTTTTAATAAGCACTGTGAATGACTCTAATGTGAAGTGAGGGAATCATTTGCTCTGGGGCAATGATCTTCAAATATTTTGACCACTCATTCCCAGCAAAAAAAACCTAAAAATAAGTATATATCTTTGACACATGTATATGCATTTATTTATATATTTCTCTCTTTCTCTCTATTACTCCTACTCATCTTTTAAGTTTCCATTTCACACCTTGAGGAATGATTAAATTGGCTTGGTTTATGTTCTTTTGTACCTTGGATCTGTCTTTTCAGAACACACTCCTGTCTCCTAGCCTGGAGTTTCATGAAGGCAAAGGACTATGCCTATTTTATTCACCTTTTTTCTTGCAGCATCAGAGTACTTGGTCCATCATAGGAGCTCAATAAAATATTGGTTTGAATTGCATTTGGGACTCCTCCTTAAAAGAGAGAGATAGCTTGTCCATGGAACAGTGCTGGTTAATGCTAACATTGCATGTCCAAACTGCTTCATGTTTCCATGGAAACATAACCAGTAGTTCGTGTAGGCACCTTCACCTGTCAGTGCCAGGTACCCAAAGAGAGTTTAAAATCCCATTTCCTGGTCTCCAGCTGGTTTTCTCCTGCAGTGGCAGAACTGCTGCTGCAGGAGAAAGGGCTCTCCATTGAAAGAGCAGCAGGAGACATCAGTAAGAGGCTTTCAATCCAGACAAGTAAGGAGGAATGGAGTGGAACAGCTTCACTCTTCAAACAATACCTCCCCTCAGGTGGCATGACTCAAGGGAGAAGCCTTCTTGGGCAGGGAGGCAAGAGAACAAATCCACTTCACTCTCTGGGGGGCCTTATTGTTGAGTTCCAGTGATGGCTAACATCAATTATGCCATTACTACTTAATAGCACCTTTGAAAATGGGAATTGCTGGCTTTGGAAAAAAACCTAGTCAGTTTCTTTATCTACCATTGATGGAAAAGATCAACATCAAAATGAAGATTGAAAGACATGGAGCACATTGATGGCTATATAACCACTTCCAGGCATGGGAGGTAGATGTTGTGCACATTTAAGTTTGTAGAATGTTGTAGCTGGAGAGATCTCCAAGATTCTGATGCTTAATCTGTATCATTGCTGAGGTGTTGTGAAATAACCCAAACTAATTTGCTCATGTGCAACCATTAGGTTCTTTTTGGAAAATGTTTTTAATGATTTGAAACTTGTGAGGGTTATATGCTCTTGCTTACAACTTCCTACAAGATTATGATGAAAGCAAGTTTCAGACCAAATCCTGCCACATACATTTAGTAGCAGTCAGGCCTCAAAATGATCAGATCTGATCTTTGAGATTCTCTGACCATTGTTAAAAAAATTATTCTTGACACTTGTTAAAATAGTAAGGCAGACTTTATTCAGGACTATCAAGATAGATATAGGGACTAATGCGATGAGATTTTGCTGTAGGGGAGAGAAATTTGGCTCAAATCCTAATACAACAAGGAAAAGTGGGAATTTGTAACCAAAGAACAGGGTGTGAATGCCTGTTGGGGTCAGTGGATGGAAAATTATTAAGAGGAAACATCAAAGATAAGGGAGGGATTCTAGCTAAATTGACCTGATAGGATTCTTGCTGAAGGCAGGCTAGGATGATAAGACATCACCTGGTTGGTGGAAGATGAGGAACCTGATTAGACATCAAGACTGATCAGATGTGGAGGATGGGGGATTTTGGCTAAACTGACTTAGTAGGATTCTGGGCCTAGTTGAAAAAAGCTCAGGGGAGTCTATCTGGAGTTTGGTCAAGGAGAGAATCTTTGTCACCATATCTGGTGTGAAAGGTCCATGAGAGGAAAATGCAGCAATATTCTGGAAGCTAGATTCAGCTAGCTTTATAGGTGGATATTGACACCAAGAATCCTCTGAACCAGTAGCTGTTCTGTCTGGAATCAAGCCTGGGGTACATTTCAAAGGATACAGATCGCTGGACTTGCTAGATTTATTTACCCTACTTGTGCAAGAGCAGGAAGTGCCTTTACAATACTTTTAGCCAAGCCACACATCTTGAAGAGCATTCATACTAGTGAAAAACCGCAGCTCATTACCACTACCTGGAGTTGATAAAGGTAGTCGATACTGTTGGAGGAGCGCTCTGAGGTGTGACTTTCCATCACAGTGTTTCAAACACTAGCTACCACCTGTGGAGCGGTGTTCTCCCTAGTGTGATGGATCACTCCAGGAGTATAGCTTGGAACCAGCAGGTGGTCAATGCCAATGTATTTAATATAAATTACAGACTCACAGAATAATGGTACTTAGGATTAAAAAAAATCTATAATTATAACCTAAACATAACAAAGTAATCTTGTGCTTCTTAATTGTTTAGTGCACAGGTTATATATGGGAATGATTTTAAAGAAATCTGTTATCAACAACAAATGAGTAATTAAACAAAATTTTTACTCAGTCTAATGAGGTGGCAAACAACATTCCTAATGGACAGCAGAACTTAAAGTATTTGTCCAATCATTGTCCCTCTCAAAATATTCCTCATGAACAGAAGTTGCATCCAGAAGCTCTTTTCTCTCAACTCCCAACTCTAAATATTCTTCCAAACCCAAATTCATTTCTCTCTTTCCGTCTTCTCTCACTCTTTTCTCTCATAACTGTTTTTTCCCTTCCTTGTGGAAATCTAGGCTTTCCTGTTGACTTCTCACCATTGTCACCATCTGCATAATAAAGCACAAAAGAGAGAGGTGGGTGGGGAGTTAGGGAGAATGCAGGGCCCAGGTCAGAATTGTTGGAGGAGGGGAAGAGAGTGCAAATAGTCATTCTTTTTCTTTTCTTTCCTGTAATGTAACTTATTCAAACCCCAAGTTCATGGATGAGTATGATATGTCTAGCTATAGCTTATTCACTTTGGATCTCTTATTTCTCGTAATCACTCTCTCCCATTAATATACATATTACTACTAAAATTAAAATATTTTTATGTTTTAGATTTACTGTAGCAATAACATATATGCCACTGGAATTATTACAAACTTCAACTGCTAATTGAGTTACTATTTTTCTTGTGTTTAGAGATGATAGCAATAAAATTGATTCTCAGCTCTACCACTGCAATGTTTAAACACATAGCAAATGATAAATAGAGCAACAGGGGGGCCTGTAACTAATAAATAGTCTCCTTGGAGAGAGTTGGCTTTGGTACCTCTCACAGTGGGAGTCAGCTTATTTGACCCGGTAATTAGTGGGACATAAGAAATGAAGGATGGAGAATCCTTGGTCTCATTCTATTTCTGCACTACTCTGATAAAGAAAAGAATATCCAGAGAAGGGCAAAGGTTTTCCTAAGATTAAACCGGCCAGTTAGTGACAGAACCAGGACCAGAACCTCTCTTTCATGCAGTCTCTTTGCCAGATTTTGGTCGGCAGAAAATGGTTTGTTTAGACTAGGACAGAAGAATATAGAAATGGAATTTTACTTCTACGAATATGCAGAATTGAGCTTTGGGTAACTGGGAAATTTTGGATGAAGAGAAACAAAGGAAGAGGTCATCTTCGTGCAGCATAATACAATTTGGCATCTGTTCTCCCACGTGTCTGCTCATGAAAAAGGCACTTAAGCACATCTCCTAGGCTGTTGCTGTTAGTTAAGTTGCAAAGCAACCTCTGGGAAACTTTGCTATGATTGGGACTTCCTTTGGCCTGCTGATAACAGGACGGGCAATGCCCAGAGCCTCAAGCAGAGGAGGTCTACTTTAAAGAGAAGGGATTGTCAAAGAAAAATTGCACTGAGTAGAGTTAAAAAGGCAAGGAAGATTTTATTCAAGACTAGAGGTCCAGACTATGCAATAGGGGAGAATGAAGTCAACTCCACTGAAACAAAAGGCGGAGGACCTGAAACATGGAGGCGAGCTAGTGGAAAAGTCCTGGAGGGTGTTAGGGAGGAGGTTGGTCAACAGGATTAGACCAACTGTGTTTGCTAATCGGTGCTTATTGAAGTTATGTTCCTCCGCTCCCCCAGAGCCTGGGAGATAGGGGCCTGTCTTCCGTGATGATTACGTTTCAAAGGGCTAGCTCAGGTCCTAGAGAAAGATTCCTATGTTGCAGAAGATTTACTCTCAAAGGAACAGAGAAAGAATTTACAATTGCAAATTTTCTAAAGTAAATGCTCTAAGAAAAGGGAGGTGGTCAGGGGCCTACAGTCAGAAAGTAAATGGGTCTAAAGTTTAGTCAAGCTGAGGAGCAGGTGAAGGTACTCTTTGTCAGGGGTTTGAGGCCCAGAAGCAAGTAAATGCAGGTGTGTCAACTAAGATAAACTAGGTTACACTGGGAAGAGACCCTGTTCAAAAATTCCCCACCACAGGCAAGCCAGCAATACCAGAAGTCCCACTGAAGGTGATTCATTCTTCTGGTGTAGCTTTACTCTCCCAGCTTAGTCCACTTGTAAAATGCAGCAGTGAGTGGACCTAAGGGAAGATGGAAACAGAGCCCCGCCAAAGTGGCCACCTCAGGGGAGTTGGAAGAGGAAATGTTTGAAGGGGTAAGGGAAGATGGTTTTTAAACATTTTTGAAGTATAATCTTACTGAAAATTTACCTTCAACTTAGAGAAATCTAGAACATTCCATTTTTGCACACCTGCATGCATAGCCAGTGTACCTCTTCCCACTCCTAGATGTAACTCCCTTGTATTTACCTTTGTACCCGTAGGCCCTCAGTGATGCTCAGCACCTGGCAGTGCACAGTCAGTGGCTGCTACAAAGCTATTCTGGTTTCCTGAGTCTATGGTTCAGGAGCTTCTGGGTTTTGGGTCACACCACTTCTTGGGTCTAGGGAGCCCACAGCTTGGCTTTTATGAGTGTCGGTGGCTGTGAGTGCTCCTCTGTAGGGCAGCTGTATTGCTCACCCCAGGGGCTATTCCTTGTAATGTACTCAAGGGGGTGCTGTGAACTTAGAGTTCAATGTGAACAGTGCCCCCTGGAGTTGTTCAAGGTGAAGGTTGCAGACATTCATCTCTCCCCTTTCAAAGGCTGCTTCAACCTCCCGCTCTTCTTTGGCCAGTGGGTGTGTTTCCTGCACAGTGAAGGAGGTGTGGATGGCAGGCCTGTGCTGTCCTGGCTTTCCTGATTTCTGAGATGAGTGGTCTTTCTGAATCCTGTCAAAAGCTGTTCCAGAGGCTAGACTAGGAAGGATTCAAAAGGACACTCTGATCAAGAAATCTCTTTCTGGAGCATCTTGTTTTCCTCTACCTGACAAAATCTTGCTTATCCTTCATGACCCAGCTTGGATGTCACCTCCTCTGTGACATTTTCACCACTTCCTGAGGTAGGGTTAGAAGGTTCTCAGGGTTGGACCCCTTTCCTCTGGGCCTCCTTAGTGCACTGCTTATCCTCTACAACAGGAAGGATGGCATTTATTGAGCACAGCCTCTGTGTCAGGTGTCTTCCTGGGTGTTTTAAATGCCTAGTTTCATTTAATCGTCTCCAGAATGCTCTGGAAAGATGTTATTTCTCAGGTGAGGACTGACTTCAGGAAGGCCAGTTTGACTGAGGTCACCCAGCTAGCGGGGAATGGAGCTAGGATTCAAACCCAGGCTACCTGACTCCAGATGACATGGAAGTGCTTTTTCTACTACACTTCATGGATTCCCTGTGGCTTTTGCATCACTCTGCACTGTAATTGAGTATTTGCAGTCAACACAAGGCCAGATCTGTGAAGTTAGAGACCGTGTCCTATTATCTTTGAATCTTTGCATCGTAGCATCCTGCCTGACCCACACAGGAGACATTTGGTAAATGCCCAAATTGTCACTAATTAGTTGAAAATTCAGTCGCATTAATAAGCAAATACCCAGGGAAGAATGGAGTCTCAGAGGGCCCTTTAGTCTTCATTTAGCGTGGAATGACTTCCATGTGGCTAAATCTAATTGTCAATGCACAATCACTGTCTTATCTGACCCGTTCACATTTGAATCATTTGATATTGACGCCACCTCTTAATACCTGAGGCTATGCTCTCCTGGTGTTCTGCCTCCCTCAGTGGTCACTTCTTGGCTGGCTTGCTGGCCCCTCCTCTTCTTGCCTGTCCTCTTCCTGTCCCATCGTTGGTTCTCAGTCTTCTCCTGGCTTGCTCACTCACTTGGGGATCTCAGCCCACCTCAGACCTTTAAACACCACCTACATAGGGAAAAATCATACTTAATCTATAGATCCAGCCCTAATCTCTCTCCTGAATCCTGACACATATATTCACCTGGTACATATGTCCCCTCAGATGTCTAGTAGATGCCTCTGACATGTCCAAAGCTGAACTTCTGATTCCACCTCCTGCTCCTCAAATGCACCCTCCCTAAGAAAAACTGCTCCTCTACAGACGCCCCCTTCCTGAAGTCTTCCTTGACTCATCTCTTCTTCTTATACCTCATATCCAATCCTTAGGGAATTCTGGTGGTTCAGCCCGTACTTAGAATGTATACAGAATCTGATCACTTTGCATCACTTCACTGCTGCCAAGTCTCCATGACTTCTTGTCTGGATAGCTCTCTGTGCTTCTCTGCTTAGCCCACCACTCACTCCTCCTTAAAATTTTCTGAACACAGTAGCAGCAATCTTTTCTTTTCCGGCTTTATTGAGGTATAATTGACATATAACCCTGTGTAAGTTTAAGGAATACAATGTGATGATTTCATACAATACACATATGTATTACAAAGTGATTACCACGATAAGGTAGTTAACATCTCCATCACCATACATAATTACCTTTTTTTTGGTCATGAGAACATTTAAGATCTACTCTCTTAGCAACTTTCTAGTATATAATATGGTATTCTTAACTATAGTCACCATGCTTTAGATTAGGTTCCCCAGACTTAATCATCTTATAACTGGAAGTTCGTAAACTTTGACCAACATCTCCCCATTTCCCCCACCCCCTAGCTCCTGTCAACCACCATTATACTCTCTGTTTCTATGAGTTCAGCCTTTTTTTGATTCCTTTTATAAGTGAGAACATACAGTATTTGTCTTTGTCTGATTTATTTCACTTAGCATAATGCCCTCAAGTTCCACCCCATGTTGTCACAGATAGCAGGATTTCCTTCTTTTTATGGCTGAATAATATTCCGTTATATATATATTCCACATTTTCTTTATCCATGCATCTTATGTTGATGGAGATGTAGGTTGCTTTCATCTCTTGGCTATTGTGAATAATGCTGCAATGAACATGGAAGTGCAGGTATCTCTGCAAGGTAGGCTTCATTTCCTTTGGCTATATAACCAGAAGTGGAATTGCTGGATCATATGGTAGTTCTATTTTTAATTTTTTGAGGAACCTCCGTACTGTTTCCCATAGTGTCTGTACCTATTTACATTCCAACCAATAGTGCACAAGTGTTCCCTTTTCTCCACATCCTTGTCAATACTTGTTATCTCTTGTCTTTTTGATAGTAGCCATTCCAACAGTTGGGAAGTGGTACCTCACTGTGGTTTTGATTTGTATTTCTCTGATGATTAGTGATGTTGAGCATCTTTTCATTTACCTGTTGGCCACTTGTATATCTTCTTTGGAAAATTATTTTTCAGGTCCTCTGTAATTTTTTAATCAGATTATTTGTTTTCTTTTGCTATTGAGTTGTGTGAGTTCTTTATATGTTTTGGATATTAACCCCTTTTCAGATATGTGGTTTACAAAAATTTTCTCCCGTTTCATAAGTTGCCTTTTCATTATGTTGATTATTTCCTTTGCTGTGCAGAAAATGTTTAGTTTGATGTAGTCCCACTTGTTTATTTTTGCTTTTGTTTTTGGTGTTATATCCAAAAAATTCTTGCCAAGACTGATGTCAAGGAGCTTCTTTCCCCCATTTTCTTCTAAGACTTTTATGGTATCAGGTCCTATGTTTAAGTCTTTAATTCATTTGAAGTTAATTTCTGTGAGTGGTATAAGATAGGGGTCCAGTTTCATTTTTCTGCATGTGGTTATCCAGTTTTCTCAACATTGTTTGTTGGAGAGACTATCATTTTCCCATTGAGTGTTCTCAGCTCTCTTGTCAAATCTTAGTTGACTATATGCATGGGATTACTTCCGTGCTCTCACTTCTGTTCTATTGGTGTGTGTGTCTGTTTTTATGCCAGTACTATACTGTTTTGATTACTATAGACTTATAATATAGTTTGAAATAGAAAGGGTGATGCCCCAGCTTTGTCCTTCTTTACAGGATTGCTTTGGCTATTTGTGGTTTCATGTGAATTTTAGAATTGTTTTTTCTATCTCTGTGTAAAATACCATTAGAATTTTGATGAGGATTGCATTGAATCTATAGATGGATTTGGATAGTATGGGCATTATAACAATATTAATTCTTCTGGTCAGTGAACATGGGATATCTTTCAATTTATTTATATCTTCTTCAATGTCTTATAGTTTTCAGTATACAGATCTTTCACCTCCTTGGTTAAATGTATTCCTAAACATTTTATTGTTTTTGTTGCTATTTTAAAAGAGATTGTTCTCTTTATTTTCTTTTTCAAGAGTTCATTGCCGTGTATAGAAATGCACTGATTTGTATATGTTGATTTTGTATCCAACAACTTTCCTGAACTCATTTATCAGTTCTAACAGATTTTTTGGTGGAGTCTCAGGAATTTCTACATATAAGATCATGCCATCTGTGGAGACAATTTTACTTCTTCCTTTTTAATTGGATGTCTTTTATTTCTTTTTCTTGCCTAATTGCTCTGGCTAGGACTTCCAGTACTATGTTGAATAGAAGTTGTGAGAGTGGACATCCTTGTCTTGTTCCTGATCTTAGAGGAAAAGCTTTCAACCTTGCACCATTGAGTATGATGTTAACTGTGATCTTGTCGTATATAGTCTACACTATATTGAGCTACATTCCTTCTATACCAAATTTGTTGAGAGTTTTCTTTATCCTGAAAAGATGTTGAATTAGGTCAAATATTTTTTATGCATCTATTTAGATGATCATGTGATATTTTATCTTTCATTTTATTAATGTGGTGTATCATGTTTATTGATTTGTGTATGTTGAACCAGCTTTGCATCTCACGGATAAATCCCACTTGATTATGGTGTATGATACTTTTACTATGCTGTTAAATTTGGTTTGCTAGTATTTTGTTGAGAACTGTTGCATCTATATTCATCAGGGGTATTGACCTGTCATTTTCTTTTCCTATAGTGTCCTTGTCTGGCTTTGGTATCAGGGTAATGCTGGCTTCATAAAACGATTTTGAGAGTCTTCCTTCCTCTTCAATTTTTTGGAAGAGTTTGAAAAGGATTGGCATTAATTCTTCTTTAAATGTTTGGTAGAATTCACCAATAAAACTATCTGGTCCTGGGTTTTTATTTTTTGGGTGGTTTTTGATTACTGATTCAATCTCCTACTCTTTATTGGTCTGTTCAGATTTCCTATTTCTTCATGATTCAGTCTTGTATATTTCTAGGTTATATGGTTGTATGTTTCTAGGAATTTATCCATTTTTTTTTAGGTTATCCAATTTGCTGGCATATAATTGTTCTTAGTAGTCTCTTATGATCTTTTGTATTTCTGTGGTATCAGTTGTAATATCTCTTCTTTCACTTCTGATTTTATTTATATGAATCTTCTCTTTTTTTCTTAGTTAGCCTAGCTAAAGATTTGTTAAGTTTTTTGAAAAACCAGGTCTTAGTTTTGCTGATCTTTTCTATTTTTTTTCTGGTCTATATTTTATTTATTTCTACTTTGCTCTTTGTTTTTTTCTTATTTCTGCTGTCTTTGGGCTTAGTTTGTTCTTTTTCTAGTTCCGTGAGGTGTAAAGTTAGGTTTTTTATTTGAGATATTTCATTTTTTAGTAATGTATGTGTTTATAGCTATGAACTTCTCTCTTAAAACTTCTTCTGTGGTATCCCATAAGTTTTGGTATGTTTTGTTTTCATTTTCACTAGTTTCAAGATTTTTCTTTCTCTTTGATTTCTTCTTTGATCCATTGGTTGTTCAGGATTATGCTGTTTAATTTCCACATATTTGTGCATTTCCAATTTTCCTCCTGTTATTGATTTTTAGTTTCAGACTATTGAATTCAGAAAAGATACTTAGTATGATTTCAATCTTCTTAAATTTGCAAGGACTTGTTTTGTGAGCTAACATATGGTCTGTCCTGGAGAATCTTCCATGTGTGCTTGAGAAGAATGTGCATTCTGCTGCTGTAGGATAGAATGTTCTGTATGTGTCTTATTAGGTCCATTTGGTCCAAAGTACAGTTAAAGTACAATGTTTCCATATTGTTTTTCTGTCTAGATGATCTATCCTTTGTTGAAAGTGGGTTATTGAAATTCCCTACTCTTACTGTATTGTTGTCTATTTCTGCCTGCAGATCTGCTAGTGTTTGCTTAATATATTTAGGTACTTCTATGTTGGGTGTGTACATATTTACAATTGTTATATCCTCTTGAAGACTTGGCCCATTTATCATTATATAATGACCTTCTTTGTCTCTTGTTACATTTTTTGACTTGAAGTCAGTTTATGTGATAGAAGTATTGCAACCTCTGCCCTCTTTCATTTTCCATTTGCACAGCATATCTTTTTCTATCCCTTTAGCCTATGTGTGTACTTAAAGCTGAAGTGAGTCTCTTATAGGAAGTGTACAGTTCGGTCTTGGTCTTTTATCCATCTATCCACTCTATCTATGGCTTTTGATTGGAGAATTTAATCCATTTACATTTATAGGATTATTGATAGGTAAGCACTTACTAATGCCATCTTACTAATTGTTTCTGGCTGTTTTGTAGTTTCCTTCTTTTTTCCTTTCTTGCTGCCTTCCTTTGTGAATTGATGATTTTCTGTAGTGGTGTGCCATGATTCCCTACTTCTTATCCTTTGTTTATGTACTATAGGTTTTTAATTTGTGGTTACCATGAGTCTTACATAAAACATATTATACATATAATAGTCTGTTATAAGCTGATAATAGCTTAACTTTGATCACATACAAAAATTCTACCCTTTTACTCCTTCCCTGTTTTATGTTTTTGATGTCACAATTTACCTCTTTTTATATTATGTATTCATTATCAAATTAATGTAGCTATAGGCATTTTTAATACTTTTATCCTTTAAGCTTTATACTAGAGTTAAGTAGTTAACACTCTACCATATTACAATATTAAAGTA